AACAATCTCAATCTTTTCACCATCCATCCTAATGCTACCAGTTGGTCCAGTGGTGAGAATCTTTGTCTTCTTGACATTGAGCCTCAGTCCATACTGAAGGCTGCAGTCCTTGACCCTCTATAGCAAGCGCTTCAGGTCCTCCTCAGTTTCAGCAAGCAGGGTTGTGTCATCTGCATAAAACGCAGATTGTTGCTAGATCTTCCACCAATCCTGATGCCACACTTCTCATAGAACCCAGCCTGTCAGATAATGTGTTCTGCATATAGGTTGAAAAGGTATGGAACCAGAATACATCCATGGTGTACACCCTTCCCAATTTTGAACCATGCATTGTTGCCGTGCTCTGTTCTGACAACTGCCTCTTGGTCCAAGTATAGGTTTTGCATTAGAACAATCAAGTGTTCTTGGATTCCCATTCTTCTCAGAGTCAGCCACAGTTTATTATGATCCACACAGTCAAATGCCTTTGCATAATCAATGAAACACAGATAGACATTCTTCTGGTATTCCCTGTTTTCAGCTAAGATCCATCTCACATCAGCAACAATATCCCTAGTACCACAATACACAGGAAGTTGCAAAAATGGTACAGAAGGGTTGTATGTAGTTTCAACTTGGTTTCCTCCAATGATAACATCTTACATAACAGCTACACAGGCAGTCACTGGTTCCCAGCATCATCGATTCCCAACCATAAGTTAAGTTGGAATTTGTCAGTCAGTCACAATTTGTGCATAGATTAAGTTCTTTTGTGGTTTGGTGGGTTTTTTTTCATAGATTTATTGGGGGGAGTAGGGGGTTCATCATTGCACCTTTTCTTCTCACCTCCTCCTTTCCCCCTCACCTGGTGTATACAGTTCCTATTTAGCCTTACTTTAGAAGCCATTAGGAGCTCTCTTGACATAATGTGTTTCCTGTTGTGCTTGAACCACAAAGTCATTAGTTCAAATCTGCCAGCTATTCCAAAGAAAAGGCTGGCAGTCTCCTCCCATAACCATTTACAGCCTTGGAAACCTAATGAAGGGTCACTAGGGGTCAGAACTGACCCAGTAGCAATGGGTTGGGTTGGGGTTTTCAGATTTCCTGGTGATACATAAAATGAAACATTACACTAATAACCCTAAAGTAAATGTCTCAAATCTGCCTGCTATTAGAGGGAGAAAGTTGGGACAGCCTACTTCTGTGGAGATCTCTAGCCTGGGAAACCCTCTGAGGCGCGTCTCTTGTTTGCAGGATCGCTGTGAGTCAGAATCCTCTCAATGGCAGTGTGTTTAGCTTGCTTACTGTTACCATTTTAGAGCAAGAAAAGACCCAACGCCTTTTAAATCATTTAGAATCTGAACACAGCAGGTGAAGTTGATTAGCATGAAGAATTTGTTATAAGTAGGGACTGATTCAGTCATTTCAAAGTGAAAACAAATTTACATAACATTAACGCTCACCTTGGAAGCAGCACTGCTGCACTCAAAGATGGCAGCCGCCCACGCTGCTTTGAATGAGTGTGGCTTTCCAGTCATAGCAATAATCCAGTCTCAAATATCAGGCTCCTGAAATGTCTCACTACCCCTCTTCCAGGTCTTCCCCATTCCAAAGCGTCATCCTGGTTTTTTTCCATCCCAGTCACCATGTCAATCACCCCAATTGCATAGGTCCAAGTCTGTTCCCGTTTTGCTTCATCATTCATGTCAGATCTGGCTTTGAAGCCTTGTAATAAACGGCCAGTGGGAACTGTCTGTAAACCAAATGTTTATAACCTGGGAACTGCCTGCTCAGTGTCTAAGCCAGGAAATTATTCCTGCAATCCACAGACTTTATTCACATCTCACCAGTTTTACATGCATGCTTGTCTCTGTGTTTGTGTGTGCGTGCGCGTGCTTGTACACTTATTATCTATGTGCACACACAGTTTTATCACATGAATCAGCTATAGATTCTTGTAGCTACAGTCAAGATACAGAATTATTCCCTTAATACAAAGATCCATCTTTCTTCCCTTTATAATAACAAAAAGGTGATAATTTTTAGTTAGAAATACAGCAACCACTATCATCGATATAGAAGCATAGCTTCCTGCTAGATGCTGGGTATATATGGTAAAGTTTCTCTTAAGAGAGTTAATATGTTAGGTCAGTTTACAGTTACTTGAGTATTTTGTTTCCCAGGCCCCCAGTCTAGTCTGACAACTACCAATCTCTTCTCTTTCTCTATAATTTTCAGTGTGAATGAGTGAAGGGGAGTGTAATTACACATTTCATGTTGAAGTTTAGTTAAAGGGCTATCAAAGAGGGAAATTGGTTGAGGGCAGCCTTAGAGCGTAGCCATACCATGGGGCTCTCTCATGCCTTGATATAAGTTGCATTTGTCAGAGGCTTTGAATTTACCTGAGTTACCACTAATGCTTAGATTCAAGGGGTCCAACTTGTATCAATCAGAGATAAATGAGTCTTGATGAATCAAACTATCATTGTTAATTGGAGCCAGAATACCCATGTTGGCTGAACACTGCACTCTTCCCCAGTGAAAATTTAATTATGAGAAATGAAATTATTAAGGCCAGAAGGTGACATTTTGTCAGAGCAAAGGAAATAATATGTAACCATTTTTAGGATAGAGATGTAGCATCCAAGTTTATGAAAATAGAACATGACTGTCCTCTTTCTAGATTCCAGTGCACCAAGTACTGTCTCTAAAATGAGTTTTAATGTATTTGGACAGGTTACAGTTACTTGAGTATTTTCCCTCCTTCTCTTAGTAGATGTGCTAACGTGTCCACAGTCATACCAGTCTGTGTTATGTGACTTGGTCATTTCCATCTCAGGATGACCTTATCTTTGTCACCTAATGTGGATACCCTAATGTACCCACTGATAGGTGGCAGTGCAATTTGGGACTCTGTGTAAAGAACCCTGGTGGCAGAGTGCATAGGGAGTTATGCTCCTAACCCAAAGCTGAGGCCTCTCTGGTGGTTTGGATCCACCAGCAGCTCCTGGGAGGAAGATGCACATCTCTGTCTGTGCGATTTACAGCTTCTGACAACCCACTGTAGGGTCAGCTAGGAGTCGGTTCTGACTCGACTGTGAAAAAGATTCCACAACTTTGTCAGCAGATCCTTTCGCTGTACCTACACTTTTATTTGGAGCCATGACTAGCTGATGAGAATAACTTAATGGTGTGTGTTTCGTTGATATATTCTTGGGTTCTTCATCCTCAGGCAGGTTTCGGGCAGACAACTTAAACAAGCTGAAGAACCTATGCAGCAGAACCATTGGAGAGAAGATGAAGGTAAGAACTTGTTACCAGCTAGTGGTGTGGTGAGTTACTGAATTGAGAGTTGGAGAAGAGATGTTTGTGGCCTTAACTAACATGCAACATAATTTCTAACTGAATGTCTAATTCTTTTCAGTTACTGAATTTCTTACCAAATAGAGAAAAATTTAAAACCATTAAGAATTTGTGAAATGCTAAAAAAAAAAGAATTTGTGAAATGCTGCACAACATGAATGAATCTGTGACAAATTATGCTAAATGACATAAGTCAAAAGGACATTAAAAAAATAGGAAATTTTTACACATAGAGTCAATCTTGGAAGATCAACAGTGATGAAAAGGGAAGGAGAGAGGAGCAAAACTTAATATTTAGATACGTGAAAGACACACGCAGTAAAGGTTTGAAGAAGCATTGCAATTCATTACATTAATCAAATATAATGAATGTTGTAAACAAGTAATGAATGAATGAATGAAAACCAATATGATTTAGAAAATTTAACTCAAAATTTTTTTTAAAAAAAGCTAGGCAGTATTTTCTGACATGAGTGAGGTTCTTACCCTTCAGATCATTTTTCCTACACAGGTCATTTCTCACTAGTTCTGTCCTAATTATAAGAATAAAGTTTCAGGGGACCTCTGGTGGCCTAGTGGCAAGAAGCTGTACTACAATCCCAGAGGTGCACAGTTTGAATTCACCAGATGCTCTTCTGGAGAAGGAGAGGCAACTCCTCCTGTACTAGTCAGATCCAATTTGATGGTACACACTAATAAAATTTTTTAAAAAAAGAATAAAGTTTCCACTAGTAATCTTTTATTTCTTTCTCTCTACACATGGTGCCAGAAAGCTTTTTCTTTTGGTACAGTTCAGATTTTTTTTTGTCCCAGTGTAGTTATGTTTCTTAGTGAAAAGGGAAGATGTGGAGTCCAAATTCCAACTTACACTGTTGGCTGTGTGACTTTAAGCAAGTAGTTAACTTCTGAGGCTCAGTCTTCTTGTCTGTAAAATGAACACACTAATAGTCACCTAGCAGCAATGACCAAAAACACTGCTGCCAAGTCAATTCCAGTTCATAGCACTGACCATAAAGAGTAACTGTCCTGTCATTTCTAAGGTTGTACTGTTTGTAGAAACAGATTACCACTTCATTCTTTTACAAAAGTGGTTCAGTGGGTTTGAACCACCGACCTTGTGTTTAGCAGCTGAGTATTTAACCACTATGTCACCAGGTCTCCTGGCATAGTACAGAATAGTGAGAACTGAATTGTTGAAATGTACAGAACTGGGCACAATGCCGAGGACATGGTAGTTTCTCAGCAATTGTGTGTGACAATGGATGGCATGGATTCCTGGCCTCCGCCCAGAATCCCTTCTCATGCCTGAAGAATGTCACATTTCAGCTCAACTTTTGCCTTGGGTTCCAAAATACATTGGGGTTTTTTTTTCATTCTTAACTTTTTAATTTCCTTAGTCACTTTTGAAGAATATTTTTAATGCCTTATACAGTGTATATATACTTTTTAAGTTGTAGACCTTAAAAAACTTTGGAATCAGCAATGAATGAATGGAAATCCAAAATCTCTGTAAATGCTCATTAAAATTATTAAAAAATAAAGAGAGGAAAAAAAACAAACTTTGGAACCAATAAAGAACGTAACAAAATAAGATTACGAAAAAAGAAATAAAATTACCTTAGGGTTCTAGCAGCTTTAATTTCTCTTTACATCTGTGCTTTCTGTTGATGGTATTTTGTCATACTTTCAGCCTGCGACTTTACTGTGGAAATGAGAATCTTATCTCTTCCAATAGGTTCCTTATAATTTACCGTTTGCAACACGTCCGAGGTTCCAGAATCATGTTAATTCTCTGTATACACCTGTCTGTGTGTTCTTTGCTGCATAAACATACATAGTGCTGGTATTTTGGGGTTTTTATATAGGAAGAAGATAGGAATCAGTATTTTCATTTGTTATCTCTGGTAAACAGGGAATGTTCTTTCTTGTTCTCTATTGATAGGAAGAATCCTTTAACTTCTCTAACATGTTAAAAATTTCCAAACCCTTTCATGTGCATCTCATTTTGTTACTTCAGACCTGGAGTGTATTGAGTCCCTTTATCAGGTAACAGAATAGGGTTAAGGAAATGAAGGGACTGCCTCCAGTCATACACATGAATTAGTTACAGAAGGAGGCCATCAGACAAGAGTACCTGGTTACCACATGCCCCCCTTACCTATAATATCATTCAAAAATCTTGAGATTTAGACCATTTCTTTTTCCTGCCTTAGTATGTTGATCTATACTTGTTATTATCAAAATTCATTCTGATATTTCCAGTCTCTTCTAGTTTTCTTAAGATGACTTTGCTCTGGGTTTCTGAGTAGGAGTTGGATTAGAACCCTGACTTCTTACTTTGCTAAGTGAAAATGTACAATAGAATCTAAAGGATTTCAGTGCTTAACTTTTAAGAATATTTAGCCATTTCTTTTGACTGGTTTTTTTTGTGCAATAGACCATAAAGTTGTATAAACATAATTTCCTATTATGTATGTAAAAGTAAAACAAAAAACCTGAGAACATTTATTGTGATTTCTTACACATCCTTTTTTTATTATTATTCATTTTAATGAAAATTTACAGAGACTTTAGATTTCCGTTCAGTCATTGTTACACTTTTCTCCCTGCCCACTCCTCCCCCCTGCAGTACACTCTTCTCTTTGAAAAGTAAAAGAAATTTTTTTTTCATTGTTTTACAATCCCTCCCCCCAGGTCCACTCCACTATGCAGCCTTCATTCTGGACTCCTGTCATGACTAAAATACCTAATCACATATTCCTTGTAAGCAGTTTTCTCCCTCATCTGTTTCAATGCAGTATACATTATTTATCCCGTCTTTCTCAGTCTCCCCCCAACCCTAATGTCAGTCCTGTTTTACAAGAGTGGCACTATGCAGTGTAAGTCCTTTTTACACATCCTTTTTATTCATAATGACAAAGCAGACTCTTAAATCATCTCAAATAAATTTGAAACAATTTTTCTTGAGATCATACATCTTTTTTATTTAAAACTTTAACTTGAAATTATCTTCCCCACTGCTGTTGTCTAATCATCATCTAGTTATGCTGACTCACAGTGACCCCGTGTGTACAGCGTAGATCCAAGCTCTGTAGCATTTGCAGGGCTGTGGCCTTTTGGAAGCAGATTACCAGACCTGCCTTCCAGGATCCTTGGGATGGGCTCAAACCTCCAACGTTTTAGTAGGTATAGTTGAACGTTTAACCATTTGTGCCACCCAGGGACTTTGTCTTCCCAATTACTCTGTGCAAGGATTAGAAATTATAATTTGGCAAAATTTCACAAAAGATAAAGAGGAAAATCGGGGGTAAAAATATACTCTAGCTCTGGTTATATTTCTTTGATTTTGTAAAATTAGAGTCCCTGAGTGCAAATGGTTAAGGTGCCATGAAGAAAGAGTTGGCCGTTTATTTTGAAAACATCATCCATTGAAAACCCTGTGGACCCTGTGGAGCACAGTTCTCTCTTCCATACAGGGGTTAATATGAGTCAGAATCAAACTCCGTCGCAACTGGTTGCTGCTTTACCAAGTTGCATGGCTTACTCAAAACTTAGACTCTATAGCTTTTCCTCAAAAATTTGTTTTTCCTTAGCTCACTAGTTTTCTATAACCCAACTCTTGTCTTTCCCTTAACTTCAGTGTTGAGATTTTTCTCAGCACATAGGCACAGTTCACCCCCAGGGACTGCTGAGCTCCAAACTACCTTTCCAGCAATTTAGAGTTTATGAGCATTTTCAGATACATTTTCTAGATATCTTAACTGTTTTATGCCCAGGATAAGACATTATTCTTCCCATGGTGCTAACTCTCAAATCCCAATAGGTTAACTGATTGGTCTGGGGAGTAGAATTAGTAAGTGGCAGAACGTTGACTTCTGACTTTAAATGTTGTTGTTATATTGTTATGTGCCATCGAGTCGTTTCCGACTCATAGCGACCCTATGCACAACAGCTCTAAACCCTGCTCTATCCTGCGCCAACCGCACCGCCTCTGACACACCCATCCCGATTACCCCAGTCACCGAATCAATCCATCTCATAGAGGGTCTTTAAATATGACTTTAAATACATAGCATTTTCTCCCACATGTTGTTTAGAAAAATTCTGTATATAGAAAGTTGGACAATTAAGCTATGTTTTTGTTATTGTTGTTATGTGCCATCGAGTTGCCTGTGACTCACAGTGACCCTCTGTACAACAGCTCTGAACCCCGCCCTATCCTGAGCCAGTCTCACTGACTCTGATACACCTACCCCCATTGCCCCAGTTACTGTGTCAATCCATCTCATCCAGGGTCTTCCTCTCCTGTGCTGTCCCTCCACTCTTCTGAGCATGATGTCCTTCTCCAAGGACTGGTCACTCCTGACCACGTGCCCAAAATATGTGAAACAAAGCTTCAAAATCCTTGCCTCTAAGGAGAAACTTGTTTCACCTTCCTAAAAGAGACCTCTTTGTTCTCTTGGTGGTCCATAGTATGTTCAGTATTCTTCTCCAGCACCACAACTCAAAGACATTGATTCTTCTGTCATTCTTAGTCATTACCCAGTTCTCTGATGCATAGCAATTAATTGTGAAGACTGTAGCCTAGATCAGGCACATCTTAGTCTCTAGACTGACATTATTGCTCTACAGCTCTTTGGAGAGGTCCCTAACAACAGACTTCACCAGTGTAATTCATCTTATCTATACAGCATGCTAATTTTATATGCCAAATACAACCACATCAGAGATTTTCTTGTATTTGGTTTTGATGAGTTTGTTCTTTCCTGCAGAAAAAGGAGCCAGTGGGAGATGATGAATCCATTCCGGAGGATGTACTGAACCTAGATGACCTGGAGGCAGACACTTTAGCTGTAAGTTATCATCCATTCTGTGGTGTGCACATGGTGAGATGGGTTTCTGGTCATTTCGTCTCAACGGCTCCACATTTGCCTGTGACATACTGAAATACTGTAGCTCAGGATTGTTGCCATCTGCTCTTGTTATACCCTTCCATTGAGTTTTTATGAAAGTAAAGAGTAAGCGGAACAATCAAAGGTAGGAAGAATGGGGCAAAGGAACTGAATTGTGCTTTGCTTATGTTGTTGATCACCAAGTTTGGTGGAGTAGAACTGCTCTGTTGGGTTTTCAAGGCTGTTACCTTTCAGAGACAGACCATCGAACTGTCTGCCATGACACCTCTGGGTAGATTCAAACCACCAGCCTTACCGATAGTAGCCTGGCATTTAACCACTTATAACACCTAAGGACTCTTGCTGGGCAGATATAGTTCTGTTTTGAGGGTTTTTTTTACACAGTCTACTTTAATTCAGCAAACACTCACTACAGAGGCCATACAGTACTAATCTTCAAGTCCTTTAGTCACTGGCCCCTATGTTGAAAACCTTCATATAAAATTACATCGTAATAATCCCAGAGGCACGTGGTTCTAATCTACCAGATGCTCTGCTGGAGAAGAAGGAGCAATCTCCTTCTGTACCAGTCAGATCCTATTTGATGGTACACACATAAAAAATATAATAAAATATAATTTTTAAAAAATATTATAACATGAGTATAAATGCAAGAACAGCAAAGTTTCAGTATTTGAAGGATTAGATTGGGAGGGGGCTGTTCCTATCCAGCTCTTCCTATTAAGGGCACCCTCCCCTCGGGAAAATCGCCATCCAGGCACTTGCAATCAGGAATATAAAATAAGACTTAGACAAGATCTCTTGCTCTCTCCCCCATATACAAACTCTGTAGGGAGCTCTGGTGACTTAGTGGTAAGGAATTGTGCTGCCTATTGAAAGGTGTGCAGTTCGAATCCACCAACTGCGAAAACCCACTGGAGGGTCAGCTAGTGGTTGGTTCCACCCAGCAGTGCACAAGTATACTGTATAAACTTCAAGTTTGAAGATTTAAAGAAAAAAATAGAAAAGCAAGCAGGGAGCAGGGAAAGGATTGCTGTTTGCTTGTTAGGTGTGTGTGGCAATGCATTTAAATTAATTGTCATAACAGTACAGCAACATTTCTTCTCAATAGCTTATTTTTACACATTAAGCAGGGGAAAAAAAACGTATTCTGTAACCAGGTCTAGCCTTGGGATTTGAAAAACCTTATGGAATCACAGTGCGTCACAGGATCAGTTCTGTGCTAGGATCTGGTTCTCAGTGGGAGGAACTGTAAGGGCAGGTGCCCACCTCTGGCCTGCCGGCCCCTGATCCCATGTGTCTGTGGCTGAACGCTGTAGCATAACCGTTGTATGTTACTTGCCCACCATTTTCATTTCTTCACAAGATTGTCAAATGCTAACTACTTTCTATGCTCCAGATGGATTTCCTTGCTAGACATTCTTAAATACCATTGAAAGCATTTTTTAACAAAGTAAAAGAATCCCTTGCTCTTAATAAATTTACTTTCCTTCTGGAAAAATACCGGTTGCTATGGCTTCGAGTGACTCATGGCAGCGGCAGCCTTGTGTCAGAGCAGACTGTGCTTCTTAAGGATTTCGCCAGCTGCTTATTTGGAAGTAGGTCACCAGGCCTTTCCTTCGTGCTACGTCTGGGTGGGCTCAGGCCTCTCCAACATTGTGATTAGGACCAAATATTCTTTTGATTCCTACCCAGAGACTCCTAATCTTTCCGAGAACAATTAAATGCAGTATAATAATTGAGGCTCAGTCAGGAAAATTAAAAAATGTAAATTAAGGGAAAATGCTATGAAAAACTCCTAAAGTATATGAACAAAAAAGAGAGGCCAGAAATATGTTGTGCTGCAGCCCAAAGGCAGGAAGTTCAAATCCTCCAGCCGCTTCACTGGACGTAGATGGGACAGGCTCCTCCCGTGTGATTTTCTTAGCCTCTGAAAACTCGCTGGAGGATCAGCTATGATTCTGCTCCAACTTGATGGTACACAACAGCATTAATGTATCTAGGGAGCTCTAGGAGCTAATCTGTAGAGAATTGCACTGCTAACGCCTAAAGGCGTTCCCAAGTAGATAGATGGGCATTCTCCTCCTGTGTGATTTACAGCCTCTGACAATCTGCTAAGAATCAGCTATGAGTCCGTTCAGAGAGTGCTGAGGGGGGTTTTATCTGTTTAGACACTCCAAAGGAAAGTTAGACACCCCAACAAGTTTCTAAGACAAGACCATTTATATCCCTCTGTGAAATAAATCTCAGTTCTTTGAAGGCCTTTTTCACCTTTGAGCATGCTCCTGAAGGGATGTCACCTAAGTACAACAGGACAGCAGAATTGCATTCCCACTCTGTACTCAACTCGCTGTGACCTGGCTCTGGGCCTGTGCTTTTGTTCTACAGAACCTGAAAGTTTCACAGATCAAAAAAGTCCGACTCCTTATCGATGAAGCCATCCTGAAGTGTGATGCGGAGCGGATCAAGCTGGAAGCAGAGCGGTTTGAGAACCTCCGAGAGATTGGGAACCTTCTGCATCCCTCTGTGCCCATCAGTAACGATGAGGTGGGCCTCCTGGCCTTTTGCTGTTGCTGGCTTGGGAGGGGCGGGCTGGGAGCTGTGAAACACTGGCAGACTGTATAATAGGCCTTGTGTCATAAGCAGGCTCTTTGTATATTCCCTCTGCCCACCAATTGAGAATTGAAGGAGTCAGATCCTTGCCTGATTGGGAAGTAACAGAGACAGCAGGTAGGAGGAGACTCCTGGCACTGAAATCTCTTCTAAATAGGGCTGCTGTCCTCCACTGCGTGTTGCCCATGGCAGCAGCGAGTCTTGTGGGAGGGATCTGCTAAATCAACCTAACCCCCTCACCCCCACCCTGCTGAGAAGCTGCAGGTTGAAGGGAAATCTGCATGATAAAAGTTTCCTGCTGAGCAGGAACTTCCCCAGCACAAAGCTGCTCCCAGCCCAGCCTTTGTTCCCTGACACCCCAGCCGTGGCAGGGCCCATCTGTGCCTCTTTCATTCATTCCCTGGTGAGTGCTAAACTTACTGCTGGCTAGGGTGTGGGAGGCTGAGAGGCCGCCTAGCCCAGACTCTGAGGTCAGGGCCCAGAGCCCGCCCTCATGTAGCCCCAGAACCAATGAGAGCTTGGGGGGGGGCTACATTCTCTTCAGCACCCCAGGCGATGACTATTATCTGGCACGGCTTGTCCTGTATAGGCCTTTTCAAGAAAGAACTGTTTAAACGAGGGAAAACAAACAAACAAAACCAAACCAAATGTCTTGGAAAACCATGATTTCACCTTCTAGAAGCTCTTCTTGAAATTTGTATATTATTATTTCCCCCTCTCACTCTCTCCTGATTATAAATTCTCCAGAAACATCCCCCCCTTTTTTTTTTGTCTCAGCACCTGATGACAAGAACTTGAGTCCATCACAGAGTCAGGTGGATATTGAAGTAGAATTTGGAACGATGAAGTTTGTAGGAGTAAGGAGTTGTGGGTCTTTCTTATTTCCTTAGGATGCAGACAACAAAGTAGAGAGGATTTGGGGCGACTGTACTGTCAGGAAGAAGTACTCACACGTGGACCTGGTGGTGATGGTGGATGGCTTCGAAGGCGAGAAGGGCGCTGTGGTGGCTGGGAGTCGAGGCTATTTCCTAAAGGTGAGAGTTAGGAACTATTGAGGACAGAATTATGAAGCATTTTTTCTTTATTTGCAGAAAACCATAATGTTGTTCTTCTGCCTTTCTGTGGCTAACTTTTTGGAAGTTAGGTCTCTTTGTAGCATGATCGTACAATGTTATACTAAGTGATCCTACACAGAGGTAGTCTGCCGATTTGGTTATCCAGACGTGTTAACTGTCCAGGTTGCCAACTGCTGTGCCAGGCACTGGAGGGGAAAAACAGACTTGAATTTAGGCCTCTGCCTTCAGGAGCTCAGTGTAATTACATGGTGAGATAAATAATAAAGAATCAGGATCTACTTGATATGTACTATGGTCTGAGTAGGTCCAGAGTGCTATGAGAATAGACAAGTGGGAATAATAAGCCTGGGTGTGGTAAAAGAAGAATTCTAGGTGAGCTCTGGTGGCCTAGTGGCAAGAAGCTGCAACTGCAATCTCAGAGGTGCACATTTCGAATCCACCAGATGCTCTGCTGGAGAAGGAGGAAAAATCACCTCCTGTGCCAGTCAGATCTGATTTGACGGTACACACCAAAAAAAAAAAAAAAAGAAGAAGAATTCTGGAAATACTGTACAATTGTACTTTGAAGTGTATTTGTAAATACAAATGAAGGCAGTGTTTTAAGAATTAGCACAGGGCAACTCCCAGGCACTGTGAGTGAACAATCCTTTTCCCTTTAGTATCTTACAGGGAATTCGTTTTATGATGTGCTTAAATGGTGTGCTAGCGTTGGTGTTGAGAATCTCAAGTTAGTTGTTACAAAGAATTGGGGGGTCTTGCTGGCCTCTGACCAGGACAGTCACGCTTGCTTGCTCCAGTTGCCTCTGAGTGTACCTTCTCGTAGGTGGACCTGAAAACAACACTCTCACACAGTCTTCTTTCTACGCATTTAGGGAGTCCTGGTGTTCCTGGAACAGGCACTCATCCAGTATGCCCTTCGCACGTTGGGAAGTCGGGGCTACACTCCCATCTACACCCCCTTTTTCATGAGGAAGGAGGTCATGCAGGAAGTGGCACAGCTCAGCCAGTTTGATGAAGAACTTTATAAGGTGAGCAGCCCGGAGCTGGGCCCCACATCGACCTCTTCATTTGTGAAGCTTAGAGCAGCACTGTCCAACAGCGCCCTGTGAGGACAGAAATCTGCTAGATCTGTGACTGCTAAGCACTCACTTCAAATGTGGGCAGTGCAGCTGAGGGACTAAACTTTTTCATGTAGCTGGTGGATACCATATTGGGCACAGATACAGAATATTTTTCTTTTTCTAGGTAGTCTATGATCTGTCTAGAGCATCCTACTGTGTTCCAACACTATTTATTAAATGGTGCTTGACAAGAACAAATTATAGAAGTAACACTAAATCCTGTCTTCCTGCATGCGACCCCAGATTGGAAGCCTCCACAGGGCAAGACACTTTCCTTGGCTTACAACCAGAGTTCACGTTGAGATTCAGAATGTCATTATGACTTACTTTAATACTGACCATAGCAGCCCCAAAGGTGGCTTAGTTCTAAGGAGTTGCCCTGCCAACCCAAAGACAAGTGGTTCAAATCCACCAGCTGCTCCGTGGGAGAAAGATGAGCAATCTTCTCTCATGTGATTAACTACCTCTGCAAACCCTTTGGAGGGTCAGCTATGAGTTGGTTTCCACTCCACGGTACACAGCAACAACATAACGGCCCCAGAGCATTTGGCCAAAAGGTCAGCAGCTCGTGTCCACCCAAAGGTGAAGCATTCTGCTCCCACAAAGATTTACAGCACCTAAAACCTTATGAGACAGTTCTCCTTTGTTCTGCAGTGTTTCTGTGACTCAGAATCATTCCAACAGCAGTGAGTTTATGGGTTGACCGCCCCAGCCTGTGTCCAGCCTTTGGAATTCCTGCAATGTCTCTGCCAACAGCTGTCCTCACAGCTCAGTCTACCTCTCACTGGTACCTCTCCTTCTGGTTGTCTGTTGGAAGTGGAGGCTTTGTTTTTCCTAGCTTGTTTCCTTCCAAGACCCGGGTGGAGGAAGAGCCCACTGCTCGGCTCATCTTCTACAGGGAGATCAGTTTAATAAGGAGAGCCTGTGCCCGCTGGGACCTGAAGCATTCATGATTATGATTTTCATTCCAGATTCACTAGGAAACAAAATAGTCTCTCTTTTAAACCCCAAGCATTGGGAGAAGCTTGGAATCTGCTCTTTTTTTCCCCTCTTCTAATAAGGGTAAGGATATGCCCGTGTAGGAAACCTGTTATACCTGCTCTCTTTTTCTAATCTGAGCCTCCAAGATTGGGTAACTACTAACAACCTTAAGAAATATCCAGTGCTGGCAATACTAGGGAGAAGTAGGGAGTGGTATGAGAAATACTAGGCAGCCTGTGTTAGGTGTTTTCTGCGTCCTCCGTCTTTTATCCTGATGGTTCTGGAGAGGATCACAGGTCTTGGTAGTGAGGAATTTGGCCTGGCACGCCTTGCGTGTTATGCTGTTATTAAACACAGTTGAACTGATTTGGACTCATATCGTCCCCAAGTGTCAGTACAGATGTCTCATGGGTTCTCTAGACTTTGGTCTCTACTGGAACACATTGTTGGGTCTTCTTCCCACAGAGCTGGTGGGTAGGTTCAAACTCCCAGGCTCAGGTTAGCACCCACATGCTTATGCATCATCAGGGCCCCTTCTTGGAGCAGCCCATGGATTCCAACCACCTGCCTTTGGGTTGGCAGCACCACTCATTACCGACTAGGCGATCTCATCTAGTCTGCCTTTTTTTTGCCCCCTATCAGGGACCCCATGTTGGTGTGGTCCCGTCTCTTCCATGTGTGTTTTAGTGTCCCTTCTCTATTCTCAGATGGAGGTTAAAACCATGCCTTTTTGACCTGTCATTCCTGTGGCTTCTTGTTTTCGCTGAGATCTGTTGTGCTGGCTCTTAACCTAGGCCCCTCCTCCCACAGGTGATTGGCAAAGGCAGTGAGAAGTCGGACGACAACTCCTATGATGAGAAGTACCTGATCGCCACCTCGGAGCAGCCCATCGCTGCCCTCCACCGAGATGAGTGGCTGCGCCCGGAGGATCTGCCCATCAAGTATGCCGGCCTGTCCACTTGCTTTCGCCAGGAAGTGGGCTCCCACGGCCGTGACACCCGGGGCATCTTTCGAGTCCATCAGTTTGAGAAGGTGAGTTGAGAGTCTTCTGTGAAGCCGTCAGGGTGGTTAGAGGAAAGGACATCCATGTCGCCCTAACCCCCTGGCCCTAGCGCCTCCTCTCACTGCCTGCGTCTGTGTTTCTGGGGAAGAGCCTGTGGTGCACACGTGGACTGGCTCTGAGCACAAACCACCCTCTCTGATTCACCAGCTTCACATTTAACAGCTGTGTGACCTTGAACGAGTTGCCTAACCTTTCTGTGCTCACTTTCCTCTTCTGTAAAATGAGGATAATAGTAGTACCTGTTCTCCCAGGCCTACCCTAACGATTATACTAGTTACACTTAGAACAGTACCTAGTATGTATGAGTTAGTTGTCTACATATTGTCATAGTTCCCGCAGGCCCAGGCCAGCCAGCACCGATTTCTGCTGGGCACCCAGCATGGCTTGCTTCCTGGTAGTGTAGGAGTAAGTTCATTTTCAGGCTGTTTCCCACCTTTCACCCTATACCCTTGTCCCTGTCTCCTCGTGTCCCTCTGTGCAGATTGAACAGTTTGTGTACTCGTCACCACATGACAACAAGTCATGGGAGATGTTTGATGAGATGATTGCCACCGCCGAGGAGTTCTACCAGTCTCTGGGGATTCCTTACCACATCGTGAATATTGTCTCAGGTAGGAGTCCCGTCACCTTGCCTGCCTCCCTCTCCTGCATCCCACAGGCACCACCCTCAGCAGCTCAGCAGCCACACAAAGAAATAGCTCACAGTCCAACTAATCACCCACATTAATTAAAAAATCACACTCTTCTCACTTGGGAGTGTTTGGCAATAAGACTGTCGGGGTGTGATTTCACTTTTGGGCCTAGAAAATGAATTAAATAAGCCTTCAGACTTGCTAAAGGTTAGCCTCCTGAAACCCAGTCCCTCCTTCATGAGTTCTCCGGGGGTCTCCATGCAGGTTCTTTGAATCATGCTGCCAGTAAGAAGCTTGACCTGGAGGCCTGGTTTCCGGGCTCTGGAGCCTTCCGAGAGTTGGTCTCCTGTTCTAACTGCACAGACTACCAGGCTCGCCGGCTCCGAATCAGATACGGCCAGACGAAGAAGATGATGGACAAGGTAAAGGGTCCCCAGGGCAACAGGAACGGGGCCTTTGATATATCTGGAGCCATCTCAACCCTTGGAGTACAGAGAGCCCACAGCACCGTGCGGAAGGCAGAGCATCTCAGTCTAGGTCGATAAAGGGACTTCAAAAAGGACAACTGCTGAGTTAGAACTGGGCGCTTTTAGATAGAGACTTCAGTCTAGCTCTGTCATACAAGTTAATCTTAGCTCCTTTTCCTCTAGACTTTGTTTTCTTTAATTCTATCTAGAGAAAGAATAATCCTCATTTATCTACACAGAACATATTGGAGGTAGTGTCTTCTCAATTCTCACCTCAGGAGAGCTCAAGCCTACAAATTTATCTCCTCAAACCTAATTTTCAGACCCTAGTTTTTTCTAAAGGGATCATGATTGAGTAGCACATTATGGTTTGAGCTGCTAACTAAAAGATCAACAGTTTGTATCCACCATTGGTTATGTGAGAGAAGGATTTACAGCCTTGAAGCCCGACGAAGTGTGGCCGTGAAGCACCTCTACCTGAAGGTGGCTGGTAGGTCCGTCTTTTCCAAGACAAGGGCTTTGCAAGGGTTAAAAGGAAAAGCCACAGTGGTGGTGTCTTGTCTTTCCCCAGAAGTGGCCATTGCCTCATTAGCCACAACTCCCCTCGGAATTCCAGGATAAGGATTCTTCAGCAAAAGGAACATTTCCTCAGAGTACTGGCTTGAAAGGGGAAAGGAAACCAGAAATTGGCTCTCTGAAAGGGGGATAGTAGGGCATGAGGCACGCAGTAGCTGGCTTCTACGCTTTCACAAATGTAGTTATTAGTAAGATGATTGTAAGAGAAAACTGACAATGTAGATGAACAAAATATCATGTAAATGAGAGATTGTATAAATCACAGTTTACATGCATGAGACACAATGTACATAAATGGTAAAAATACTCATTTTTTAAAAAAAGAATACCAGGACATATCACTTCTTGCTCATGAAGATATGTCTAATAGACAGTAAATGCCAAGTAGAATTAGCGTTTAGGAAGGAAATGATAATGTGAAGACCTATTGTTTCATATAGGATAGCTGCCTTTCTTGGCTCTGAGAGTAAGGTTACTGTACATCAGTAAGACCAGCCCAGGGTTGAGCTTCAGCTGCTGTCCTGGGTCCTGTCTTCCCAGGTGGAGTTTGTGCACATGCTCAATGCCACAATGTGTGCCACGACTCGCACCATCTGCGCCATCCTGGAGAACTACCAGACGGAGAAGGGCATCATCGTGCCTGAGAAGCTGAAAGAGTTCATGCCGCCAGGTATGGCTCAGAGCCTGGCTCACCTTCCTGTCGTTTAGCTTCACGTTCTTCTAAATAGCTAGTTCCTTTCCAAAAACCCCTAGTTAACACATTCAGACTCTTTCCTACTCGCTGGGGACCTCACCAGATCAGGGGGCCTGCCTGGGGAATGCCGCTGGAGTCCAGAGGTGGGAAGAATGAATGAAACCAGAGGCCTTCACATGCGCCTTTTGTTCAGAGGGTTGTTGTCTCCCTGGCTCTGACTCTCAGAAAAACAGGGGGTTATTATTTGGTTGACTCTTCCCTTCCAGGTCTCCAAGAACTGATCCCTTTTGTGAAGCCTGCACCCATTGACCAGGAGCCGTCAAAGAAGCAGAAGAAGCAGCACGAGGGCAGCAAAAAGAAAGCGGCCGCAGATGTTGCCCTGGAAGGCCGACTGCAGAGCATGGGAGTCACCGACGCCTGAACATTCCTTCCGCCCAGTTCTCCAGGCTTTCATCTGTGTCACCTGGGATCTCAGAGCCTGCCCAAGCACAGGGAAGCCAGGCACCCACTCCTCACCCTGCCCCATCTGACTGTGTAGCTGAGGGGAATGGTCTGCCACAGGCAGCACGCATGTCCCCATCTCTTCGCATGGGCATAGGATTTCATCACGGTGACTGAGGAAGCCATGTAATAAAACAAGTCTCCTGGGGCGTTAACCCTGGCTCTGACGAGTCTCTCTATGACTTCACTGAATGCAGATTCTCCTTCCAAATAAGCCTCTTCTGTTTAGCAAGTCAGAGAGCCTTTGAGAAGGTAGGTGAAAGCAGGGGAATACTATTAATAAAGGATCAGCTCACATCTTCTCTGCACAGGCTGGTAGGACAAGGGCCAGCATCTCCTTTATAATTGCACTCCTGCTAAAAGCAGTGAGGTAGGACTGAGTTTGTTGTTGGGTGCTATCAACTTGATTCTGACTCAGAGTGGCCTTGTGTGACAGAGTAGAAGTGTCCTGTGCATGGAGTTTCCTAGGATGTAGCTTTTATAGAGACAGATTGCCAGGTCTTTCTTCTGCTTAGCAGCAGGCCTCCTAGGGCGTGCTTAGAGACCACAATCGACGTGAAGGGGCTCATATAGCACATATTCACCAGGAAGGGCTCCGGGGTGGAGAGGGAGGCTGTGAGGACCTCTAGAGAGGTGAGAATATTCTCAATATTGAATTTAGACCAAAAGGGCAAGACCTAAACTGCTACTTCTCTTTCCAGCGCCCCCCCCAAAGATACCACCTCCACTAGCTGCTTGTGACACAGCTCTAAATGCTGTTGTTTATGGCCATGGCTAAGGTGCCAGATAGAACCAAAATAATAGACAAAAGGAATATATTTTCACATGAGTTGAATAAAGAAAAGAAATAACATCTAAACACCCCGTCTTTTCTTCCTTAAAAGGAGGATTAATACATGATCTGTAAAACCTAAATAAATTGCCTAGAAGCTCAAAAGAAACACCTCTGAGGGCTGATGCTAGCGGAGGACATGGAGAGGACTATTTGCCCTAATAGCTAGCTCCCCATTTCCCTGTGGAGGGGAGTGTTTCTACCTTTTATTTACCTGCAGCCTTTCATCCTACAATCTACAAACAATCAGCTTTAATAACACCTTATGTTCGTTTAGTGCTTCTCTCCTAGGAGCTCAGGATACTTCCTAGAGTTGATCTCTTTTATCTTGGTGACAGTCCCAGAAGGTAGGGTGGGGACATGATTATACCTGTTCCATCACTGGGAAGGCAGAAGCAGGGTGGGTACGGGAGATGCCATGGCCAGGTGGCAGTCTGGAGGCTGCCTCAGTACTCTCAGCTTAGCTCTGTCCAAGCAGTGGCTTCTCCCCTGAGCCTGTGGAGCTTGGGCTAGGTTTTCCTCTCGCGGTGGGGTGATGCAGGGGCACCTGTCAAAACTGGGTACCTGAAAGGTAACAGCTATGAGTCTCTTGACTGTCCATGCCAGCAAGGGGCCCACAGGCCTGTTCAACCAACTAGCTTTCATGATGACCCATTGCTGTCAGCTCTGGGTTAACCAAGGCAATGGGGCAAATGAAGAAGGTGTTCCCACTTATCATTTATACAGACCAGAAATGTGTATTCTTTTTACTTTTTCTCCCCCCTTGTTATACACCATCAAAACAGATCCCATTGGTGCGGTGGAGCATCTGGTGGATTCGAACCATGCGCCTTCAGGATTGCAGCACAGCTTCTTGCCACTAGGCTACCAGAGCTCTGTAGAAATGTGTATTCTGAGTTTTTGTGTGGCATTGAGTTGACATAGTGACCCTGTGAGCAGCAGCTCTGCACTTTGCCCTGCCCTGTGCCATCCTCCCTGTCTGACACACTTGAGCCCATTGTTACAGTCACCTTGTCAGTCTGTCTTGTGGGCCTGCCTTTAGCCTCAACTACTTGATTTGAAGAAAGGCAACTTACACAATAAGCAGAAGATTCCCACCCCCCTCCCGGTTTAAAAAACCCTTGGGTTTTGAGGTTAGAAACTTTCAGATAACCCTGAGCACTCTGGTATCCACTTGACCTCTACCCTCAGAGGTTAGCTCTCACTTCCCTTGGCCCCCAGTGTCTGGGACCTTCCTGCCACCAGGAGGCACTGCTTTCTCTTTGGCCTTGAAAGCCATATGGGAGGGCAGAAGCTAAGTCTCTGAGCCCCTAGGTGCCAGGCCTAGCTTTGGGCTCCCCCGTACTGGCTGACTTCGGCTCTTCTCACCCAACAAGTTTTCTGGGGCAGCTGTGCCTAGAACCCAGGATCCCTGAAGCTATATGCAGGGAGTATCTCCTGCCCTGTGCAGCTGCCACCCCAGCTCCCCACACTGACCCGCCCTGCAGCTGAGGTAAAGGCACAGAAACTGGCCAGCAAGCCTGACTAGAGGTAAAGGAATGGAGGTGCAGAAATAGGCCAGTGAAAAGTGCTATGTGGACAACCTGTCAGCAGAAAGTCCTTCCAGCCCTTTCTCCTTGGCACCTGAGCAGGTAGTGAAGGAAAGGTTAGCTGTGTGCCTGAGGTCCCACAGGCAGATGAGAACACATGTGTCACTGAGTGCTTCCTTGTGCCAGGCACTGAGGTGCGAAAGGTTCCTGGAGAGTGGGACATGGGACACGGGCTCAACGCTCAAAGAACTTGGTGGTGGGGAAGGGTGCAACTTGCCTTCTTCTGGAGTGAACTGAAAGCCAGGCCACCCTCCTTGGAGCAGGAGGATGGCGCTGAAGACTGGCTGGCTGGAAGCTGAACGGCTGGAAATGGCCCAATTACCGTGACTCCATCCTGGCAGTTGCCTCCGCAGCCCACAGCCGATGCCCTCATCCCTGGCACCTTGACCTGCCTCATCTCCAACCTCAGCTGCACTGGTTACCTTAGTTAGCAAACAACCCCCACAGCGGGGTGGAGTGAGTCAGAGCCTGGGTCCCTCACCAACACTCAGTTCCCACACCCAAGAATCGAAGGCCTGAAGGTGCCAGCCTGGGTCCTTCAGGAGGGAATGAGGGCACACTGGGACCTCCTGGCTGTTCTACCAAGAAAAGGAGACAGCCAGAGACAAACTTGCGGTGATTCATTGTAAAGAAGCCATGTGGAGACTCACAGTGAGACCAAGGGGCGAGCAGCTCACCAGTTACCAGCTGGAAAAGAAGCAAACGCTCCCATTAGTGAAACTTCACTCTTGGGAACTGACTCTCCACAGTTGTCCTGCCTTTTCTTCCTGAAGCGACTGTTGACCAGGGTCCTGAGAAGGCTCTCCCACCCCCACACCTCCCACCAGGCCCAGGCGGCCCTGGCTGCACTCCCGGGATGAGGCTGACAAGCAGTGCAGGGATGAGCTCCAGAGAAATATGCTGCAAGTCAGAGCCTGTGCCAGATGAGGGGCCTGCTAGACTCCCCCAGCTACCTCCCAGCAAGGGGTTCCCCAACAGATCCTCCTAGGTACACGAAAAGGGGGGGCACATCCCCACTGCCATATCTAACCAGATCCTGGTGGGGCTTACATTGCCTCTGACATCGCCCTTTTAAGAGCCCCCCCCTCATGGGGATGGGGGTGCTGCGGACAGGTTCTTGTTGCAGAAACCCAGAAATGTGCAGTTCCCCTGCAACCTGGAAGGAAAGAAGCAGACCTGGATACCAACCCTTCCATTTCGCAGTCTCAGGACCCCAAAACCTGAGGAGCAGAGGTAGGCAGCTCAGATTCTTAGAAAGCCTTTTTTTCCCCCTGAGGGAGGAAGTGCCTCTCTTTAGCCACTCTGATTGGCTGAATCATAAGCTCTGCATTTTGGGGAACAGGTCATATCCCTCCTTAGGACTGCAGGGTCCCTCCCCCTGCACAAGCCTGCTGTCAAGAAACATCTGGGAAATTGTTTTCATTGAGGTGTAAATTGCAGAGAGATGGTGTGACCCCTCTAGAGGACTTGCTTTAGAAACCCTGGAGAGTCATGTAGAATAATGTTCATCTTTTCTTCCTTCCATCTTAGCTCTCAGACAACAACAGCAAAAAAATTGCTTTTCCAAAAATCAGCCCTTCTGGTACCCTGGATCTCACTGACATATCCTCAGAGCCCTTGCTCTTCAGCTAGCCCTCTCCCAATCTCCCACCTTCCTCTCCTGTCCTCTCCCTTCCTCAGTGTTTCCTTCAGCATACCAGCGTTCTTACGTTCCCCCCTCCCCAAAACAGCCTGCCTGCCAGCCTGCCAGCCTCTTGACAAATTGCAACCCCATCTGGCCCCTTTCCCTCAGAAATAAATGAGCAGTGGACACTTTGCAGGCTTTGTAGAAGCTGCAGGAAGAGGAAAGAGTATGTGCAGAGGTCCAAACAGAAGGGTCTGGAAGAAGGCCTGAGCAGTGGTCATGCACAAAGTGAAGAGTAAAGAAAGGATTGAATTAAGGCTGGAAAAATGGGTAGGGTAGGAGATACTCGACTGCCCTCAAATCAGTTCCTCTGTGTACAACAGGAACCATTAGAATCCGTAGATTTTCACAGATCGATTTTTTTTAATGGGTCTTCACGCTTTTCTTCTAGTCTGTCTTAGCTGGAAGCATTGCTGAACTTGTTTACTGGACACAACATGCAAGCCTCCCACTGACAGATGGATGAAGTGTGTTGGTTGGGACTCCAGCCCTGAGTGGCCCTGCTGCCTGAGGAGATAGTCTCTCTTATCTCATTGCCGTTGAGTTGGGAACCAAGTCATAGCTGACCCTCCAGTGGGTTTTCAGAGACTGTAAATCGCATGAGAGGAAACTGGCCCTCTTTCTCCTTGGAGCCCCTGGTGGGTCTGAACCAACAGAGATGCACAGGCTTTGCTTAGCAGTGCAGCTCCCTGCACACTACGTCCCTAGAGCTCTCTAAGGAGATGCCAGTGTCCTAGGGGTCTTGCCTTTCCTGCCTTTCCTCTGCAGACAAGACTCCCAAATCCACTCCCTCTCTTATGAGATCCAAGCCCCAAACTAATCTAACACACATTGAGCATCTCCACCAGAATCTCAAGCCCAAAGTCTCTTATCTGCTCCTCCACCCAAAATAAGCACGTTGGGCACCCCTCCTCATCCCAGTGTGCCCCACAGTGCCATTGAGTCCCTTCATTGTTTGGATCTGCCCTTCTGGCAGCCCTTAGCCGCAGGACAGTGATCTCATCTCCTGAACTAGGAAGGTTGCCTCCTTGCTAATCCGCCTGA